AAATTAACATCCCCAGTACAAGTACCGGGAATGGTACCGGGTTTCGGTACTAGTACCAGTACCGGCGGTACTGATTCCCGAATTTCATGTATTTGGAGTACCAAGTACCATCCCATATTTTTACATTCAGTACGGTTCAGTACCGGTACGGGATCATGATTTGGGACAAACTGCTCATCCCTAATCAAGACATATCGACAGAAAATACCATTATATCAGACATAGAGTTGAAGAGGGTCGTCTCATAATGAAAAGAGTCTCGTTAGAAGATAATCCTGCAAATCCTCTCATAAAGGCTCTGAGTAGGATTAAGCATAGACAACATGCTAGGAGCAATGGATTGAGAGCTGAAATTAGTTTTAGTAGTTAGATGATTAGTTTGAAACTTGTAAAAAAAATAAATATAATTGATTTTTTGTGATTAACTAATAGAGATCATTTATAAGTTTGTTTACTCCCTTTGTCAATTATTTATTCTTGTGTTTTGTTTTGCATGTTTTACTTCCTGAATAATTTAATTATTCAAATTCCATAGTCTCTCGTACTTTGGGAAGTAAGTAGTGAATTAATACTGTCATGAATTGGATTCTAGATTGTCTAAGAGAATTAGACATAGCAATTGTATTCCTACAACATTCATGAGTACTCAGAAATGGAGATTTAAGTATTGGATAAACCCACACTCAAAGAATTACTTCATGGATTATATCACGAGTAATTCTGAGATGATAATATCTTATATTCTTGAAACAGAGATATATGAGTTGTTATTTACAAGTTGGTTGTGCAATGGTGTTGTGTAAACGCGTCAGTAACATGACGTTATAAATTGTAGTATCATGTCTGATTTGGTGAGTAAAAGATACAAGCATATAAGTCAAAGTTTATTCCTTTCTTTTTCCCTAATGTGAAAAGTGATATATATGGGCCCATCGGTGATTTGGTGTTGACTTATAGTGTTGGGCCAGCCATGACTCAATTTATGTGTTAAATTTAAAGTCTTATGTTGTCATCACAAATCATGAAATCGGGAAACAAAATTTGGAGAATGAGATTGATTTTAATCCATGTCTCATGTCTATATGATATCTAGTAGAACGGATGAATATTTGATCACTTATCTAAGGACCAATGTCTATTTAGATCAGAGTTCGATAGTTGCTTCGTAAAGCACACTTTGTTGTTTAATTTGGAAGTTGTAGTTTAGTTATAAACTTATCCAAGTGAGAGACTGTTGGATTAATGTCTAAGCCATTAACTAAATTATTATAAACTCAAATTATTAGCAAAGTCCTTTTAGGTTGCCCTCAAATCTAGTAAGAGACTGAAATGTTATTTGGAGAGAAAGACTGATTTATTAATTTATTATATGATTAATAAATTAATTAATAAAAAAATAAATAATTTATTAATATGTTTTGAGAAAAATATATTAATTCGAAATTATATTGTTTAGTTATAAATTAGGGTAAATGACACAAAAAACATTCTTTTTACACATACATTCGATTTTGACACCGTGTTTTTTTCTGTGTCAATTTTGACACTGTGTTTTCCAATTTGTTACAAATTTGACCACTTGACTGGTTAACCAGGTTACATGCTGACGTGGCATGATGACGTGTCAGTTTTGATGATGTGGCATGCTGACATTATATGCTGACGTGTCAAAATTGATATTTTTTCCACAAAAAAACACTAAGCTTTCACTTATTTTTGATTTTGACACTAAGTTTAATTTTGACACTATGTTTTTTTTTTTCTAATCGAACATCATTTATTAAATTTTGTTCAATTTTGTCTATTTTCCATTTGAAACCGTATAAATATATATATATATATATATATATATATATATATTACATTTTAAACCGTATAAACATATTTTTTTCGTTTAAAACCATATTTTTATTTAAATACAATGTGTTTTTTTTTCTTACATTCAAAACATTAGTTATATCATGAGAATCAAACTAACCATAAGCTTCAAACTAACCATAAGCTTCTAATAAGCAAACTTGATATCTAAGTTTTGATCGACTACACGCCTCCAAACCTCCAAACACATTTTAAAGTTACTTATTTATTATAAAATACAATTTTTATATAATATAAAGATATGTTTTGAGTGTAAAAAATGTATTTATACAAAACTATGATTTTTAAATGAAAAAAAAAACATATTTATATGGTTTAAATGTATTAAAAAAGTATTTATACGGTTTGAAATAGAAAGTTGTCAACATTGAACAAAATTGAAAAAAATGATGTTCGATTTGGAACATAAAAACATAATGTCAAAGTTGAAAGAATAAATTAAACTTAGTGTCAAAATCGAAAAAAATGAAAACTTAGTGTTTTTTGTGAGAAAAAAATTCAATTTTGACATATTAGCATATAATGTCAGCATGCCACATCATCAAAACTGACACGTCATCATGCCACGTCAGCATGTAACCTGGTTAACCGGTCAAGTGGTCAGAATTGTAACAAATTGAAAAACACAGTGTCAAAATTGACACAAAAAATAACACAGTGTCAAAATCGAATTTATGTGTAAAAAGAGTGTTTTTTGTGTCATTTACCCTATAAATTAATTAGAAATTAATTGAAATTATTTTTAGGATTAATTGGAATAATTAAAAGTAGAAAGACTAAATGTGACAAGGTTAAAAAAATGAGCATTGACCAATTCTAGAACCTCCTAGGCGTTGGACGAATTCTAAGGGGGTTCTGGATGGTTTCTAGAGCTTATCTTGGGTTCTAAAGAAACTTTGGGGAAAAGAAAATGGATAAGGCTTATCCAAGGAAACCTGCTTTATCCAAACGTCTCTAATCACACATATAAAAGACTAGGTGTGAGACACGTATGTTATACGAGTTTAATAAAACAAAAAATTAAATATGAAAATTTAAATAAAATTTTATTTAAATTTGAAATTTAAAATTTAAAATTTAAAATTTTAATTTAAAAGGAAACATATTAAATACTATATGCATACTAATATTGTAATTTATTTGTTATTTTCAATTAAGACAATTATTAATTAAGGTGTAAATATGATGTGTTAATTAATAAAATATAAAAAATGAGAAAATGACAAATGGAAAAAACAATTATTCAAAAATACCAAAAAATGACATGTGTCCAAGTTAATGAGAGAGTGATATGTGTCAAAATTATTTTTCATTTATTAGGGAGGATACTTATGCCTCATATTTTCGACACTCATTATTTCTCTACGGAATTCCGAAAATCCTCTTCCCTCTCCTCTCTCTTCAATAGCCTCCAACTTCTAGTGTTTGGGTGTGAGCTATGAGATATACGAGATTTCTGATGCTTTCTAAAGTTCTACAAAGAAAGAATTTAAATTTATTTACAATAATAACCCTAAACTAAAACGTATGTTTTCTAATAACCCTCTCCAATTTCGAAAATAACAATCTACTTTAGTGTTCTTGAATTCAAATTGTTGTTTGCATATCATAATGAGAATATAGATCCTTTAGGGTGAATGCGAATTTAGGGTTTTACGTTTTCTATCAAAAATATGATTTTTGTTATCTATAAAACCCATCACTTTTAACAAAATATTTTTGTTAGATATAATTAATTGTTAGTAAATAAAAATTTACATGGTTTAGTTTTAATAATTTAAATAATAAATAATTATTAAAATATGATACGCTCTTAAATGATTTATCATGTACTTTATCGGTTATATATAACTAGGTCATAGTACTCCCTGTTTACTTAATAATATAAACAAAAAAAGAAATATTTTTAACAAAGATTTGGGACCCATTGGATATGCTAGCCTTGCCATAACGCTTTCTGTTGTTGAAAGGTGAACGGTGATCATAAATTCACTAAACTCTTCATTACGTCTCATGAGTCATGACAGAGTTGCTTAAGTGGCCCACCTGGAACAGCAATGGATTAATTGCAAGCAGCTCCAGCAAGCAGATTGCAATTTTTTATAAGAAAAGTAGGTTGCTATTTGTCGATCATAAATACATGACTAAAACTCTTTATGTCGTTTTGACAGTGCAGGCTGCTATAAAAGCCACTTGATGTGCTGGCTGCTCTCAGGATGGAATCCAATAATTAAGATTGTTCCAAGACTAAACTACAACTTTTATCCCTGTGGTTTTTAGTTTTTTACAAATCAAGTCCAGTTTATTAGTTTTAACTTTGATCGTCCCTAAAAGATTTTTTTGGTCACCTATATGGTCACTGGGTTTGACCGTGAAAACCACTGATATTACTATTGTACACTTAATTTTAATATTATTAGTTATCAATTTTGATTGATAAAAAATTAGTTGGTGTCTTTTGTATCAACCGATATTCCATCCATTTGATTTCCATCCTTCCATCGAATTCGGATTCCATCAGTTTGGATTTCACTTTGTTTCTTTTATTAGATTGATGCCAATTTTTATGCAGTGAGTTTCAATCGAGCTACAAAAACCCATGGTCAAACACATACACGACATTGCTGGAGCAGTGGAGATAATTGGTTGAAAAGGAGCAGCCGGCGATGTATGTAAGCCAGGGTATAATTGTAATTTCATACGGTTTTAACTGCAAAAATTAAACGACTTCGACCTCAACAGACCAAATGAGTGACAAAAAGAAAATATTTTAGGGAGTGCTAACGTTAAAGCTGAAAAAAGAAAAATGGACTTGATTCGTAAAAACCACATAACTACATGGACTAACATTGTAATTTACTAAAAGAAATGGAGAGGAAACTTATTGTCTGTTTTTTGGAGTCATGGGAAAGCGTGGAACGTAATAAAAAATAGATGTTTTATATCTCTTCTTCTCTGGGTTTGAAGTTTTGTAGTCTCTGTCTCAATAATTCATACATTAATTGAACTCTATGATAACTTTACCTACTTTATTTAATTTAATTGGTTGATCATATAATCGATAAATATATAAAAGCTAATTAACTCCAGTTCTCCTTGGAATTCCAAGAACTAGTTCCAATATGAAGTTTCCTGTTGCTTTCCTCTTTTCTAGTCTTGTTACATTTCTGATTCCCCGCACCATCTGTGCTTCCAATGAGACCGATTACGAGGCGTTGTTGCAGTTCAAGTCGATGATCACCAATGAAGAAGCTCTAAGCTCATGGAACGCTTCCTTTCATTTCTGTAACTGGAGTGGTGTTTCATGTGGGAAACGCCACAGAAGAGTAACTGCTTTAGTACTGGAGTCGCAAGGCCTACAAGGCTCATTGTCTCCTCATGTAGGCAACCTAAGCTTCCTTGGTGTGTTTTCTCTCAAGAACAACAGCTTTATTGGAATGATTCCTCATGAACTTGGTCGTCTATCCAGGCTAAGTGGCCTCCATCTTGGCTCTAACATGTTCAACGGAGTCATCCCAACTAACTTGTCTAGTTGTTCTAACCTTGAATTGCTTTCACTTTATGACAACATGCTAGTTGGGAGCATACCCAAAGAGTTCAGATTCCTCTCCAAACTTACTTCTATTCTAATTGATACTAATAAGTTAACAGGTGGAATCCCGTCCGCGTTGGGGAACATAACATCACTGGATACTTTCTCTGCTGCTGACAATCCATTTGGTGGAAGCATTCCAGACACCTTAGGTCGTTTGAAAAGCTTAAGAATATTTTACTGTGGTAATTGTAGCTTATCTGGAACCATCCCTCACTCCATTTATAACCTCTCACTCCTAACTAGTATTTCCTTGGCTAATAATCAGCTTACAGGAAGCCTTCCCTCGGCCTTAGGTGCAATGCTCCCTCATCTTCTATCACTTCAAATACGGGATAACCAACTCACTGGATCTCTTCCATCCTCGATATCTAATTGTTCGAAATTACAACATCTTGAAGTGAGTAAAAACAGTTTTACTGGGAAGTTGACAATCAACTTTGCAACCCTAAAAGATATCAATCATATAAACCTAGGTGATAACATGTATGGATTCCAAGAAGCTGATGATGATATGAAGTTTATTGATACTTTACAAAACTGCAGCAAATTAGAAAGGTTGGATCTTCGTTATTGCAACTTTAAGGGACTTGTGCCCGAATCAATAGGTAATCTTTCTAATCAAGTTAGATTCCTAAATTTACAGGGAAATCAATTATATGGAAACCTCCCTTCAAGTATAGGCAATCTAGATGGCTTGACCATTTTAGCTTTAGACTATAACCGATTCACGGGAAAAATCCCCTCCACCATTGGTAATCTTAAAAAACTACAAATTGGTGACCTGTCTGACAACCAATTTTCAGGGCCAATTCCAGATGCCATTGGGAACTTATCCTTGTTAATTACACTTGATTTAAGCACCAACCGATTGGAATGGCATGTTCCATCAATCCTAGGAAATTGTCATCAACTATCGGAGTTGTACCTTGATGAAAACAACTTCAGCGGCAACATACCTAAACAACTTCTTCAACTTTCATCTCTAAACATAGCATTAGGTCTTTCTCAAAACAACATGTCTGGGTCACTTCCAAAAGAGGTTGGTGACCTCAAGATGTTGACTTCTCTGGATTTATCTGATAACAGATTTTCAGGTAACATTCCTAGCAGCATTGGTGGTTGCACTAGCCTTTTACTCTTATCCCTCAAAGGCAACTTGTTCCAGGGCAGTGTACCACCATCATTAGGTTTCTTGAGAGGTATTTCAACACTCGATCTTTCTAATAATAACTTATCAGGCCAAATTCCTCCATTCTTGGAACGGTTGAACGTGGTAGAATATGTAAACTTATCCTTTAATGATTTTGAGGGTGAAGTCCCAGGGATAGGAGTGTTTGCTAATGCAAGTGCATTCTCTGTTTTGGGGAATAGTAAGCTTTGTGGTGGGTTGGCTGAGCTTGGGTTGCCCAAATGCAAGGAGAAAAAGAAACATAAAAAAAGGTTTCCTTTGTTCCTAATAATCATTTTGATTGCATCCCCACTTTTCATGGTATTATGTTTTGTGTATGTTTGGTGTAAGAAAAAGAAGAGCCAACCAACTCAATCATCAACAGACGAACGATTCATGAAAGTATCATACAATCAACTTCTCAAGGCTACAAACAGCTTCTCCGAAGCCAATTTGATTGGGAAGGGTGGCTTCAGCTCTGTTTACAAAGGAATCCTTCATCATGAGGATAGACTTGTCGCAGTCAAAGTTATACATCTTCAAAACCCAGGTGCTCACAAAAGCTTTATCTCAGAATGTGAAGCATGGAAGAGTATTCGACATCGAAATTTATTGAAGATAATAACGTCATGTTCAAGTGTTGACTTTCAAGGAAATGACTTCAAAGCTCTCGTATACGAGTTCATGCCTAATGGTAGTTTACATGATTGGCTACATTTAAATGCAAGCACATCGACACTGAACCTTCTTCAAAGAATAAGTATTCTTATAGATGTTGCATCTGCACTTGATTATCTTCACAATCACTGTCTACCAGCCATTGTTCACTGTGACTTGAAGCCTAGCAACATTCTACTCGATAATGACATGGTGGCCCATGTTGGAGACTTTGGTTTAGCTCGATTTCTTGGAACAGATTCAAACCAAAACAGCACAAGTGGGATCCGAGGAACAATTGGGTATGCAGCTCCAGGTAAAGTTCATGATGTATCCCCACATGCTCATATTTGTATATAGTATTACATACCTTTTTCTAATGTAATTGCTTATATGTTGTAGAGTATGGTGGTGGGAGTGAGATGGCGAGTAGTGGGGATGTCTACAGTTTTGGAATACTGTTGTTGGAGGTGATAACAGGGAAAACACCAACAGACAACATCTTTACCGGAGGTCTTAATCTTCATAAGTTTGCTTGCATGGTCTTACTGGACCATGTCACCGATGTTGTTGCTGATGACCTCGTACATTTTCTTCAAGAGGATGCTATTGCTACACAATGTACATTAGAAAATGCAAAGAAAACAGAGGAATGTCTATCTTCAATTGTCAAGATTGGAGTATCGTGCTCTGTGGATTCCCCACCACAACGAATGAATATTGAAAATGCTCTGCATGAGTTGCAGCAGATTCTGGATACCCTTCAAAATATCTGAGGTGGCATGTTGTTGTTGTTGTTCTCTCCTTTTAAGTGAAAGCAGAAGTAATAAAGAAGCCTTTTATTCTTGATATTACTTGTATTCGTTTTATTAAATCATTAGACACTTGGCTACCTTGGGTTGGAATTCAGTCAGCATTGCTTCATCTTTGTAGTTAATTATCGTGATAAATAAACCATTCGATCCCAGTTTGAATTGTTCCCATGTGCATGTCAATTTAAAAAATCGTATAGAGCATGAAAATATATTGGGTTCCAATTTAAATAATGTATCATATTCTAGGATTGCCTATTTACTTTATTATGGATGATGGTTGCCTTCAATTCTAAACATAAAATATATTGGGTTCCAATGTGTAGTCGTCCCCAAACCAACTTCCAGTTTGCTTTAAGTTATTCTAGTACATAAACTTATAGAGCATGAGTTTACCATGACATTAATATTGTACAGGGTAGCATTAGACAAAACAACTGAATCATATTATTTCAGTTTATTGTATCTGGTTATGCTAAAAAGAGGTATATATGAGAACGACCATATAACAGGGTGTTATTAGTCCCGGAGATAAATGCCAAATGGTTGGGGAACGGTTTACCTCATGACATTGCCTCACGCATGGTTTCATTAAAGGTAAAAAATCGTAAAGCATAAGATATCCGCTTTGAATTTTTTACACATGCACATGTTTCATGTTTTGCATGCATTCGTTTGACTTGGCAGTTCTTCAAAAAGAAATTGAATGCGTCAGGGATTATGTTGATGGGCCCTTCAATGTGTCTTAGTCAATTTGATAAGGACTTTGTGGAGTGCATAATTTCACTACTTATCTTTGATATTTAAAAAGTGAATTGCAAAAGCCATCAATTATCGTTGTAAATTGGAATCCTATTAGTTCCAAAAATTAATTCTCATTTTGCTTTACTCTTTTCTTGTCTTCTTATGTTTCTTTGCAACATGCCCCCTAGTATCTTATCTATCATAATAAATAAAAATTATTTGTTCCTACTTATCAAATTCTCAAGAGAGGTTTGCCACATCTAATTTTGTGAGTTTTTTGGATAAGATTAATTTCACGTCTCATCGATTTTTGTTGTATTCAATGATTAATTGATGTATTCATTCCATTAATTTCAAAAATAAAGAATATAAATACTTTGTTTGTTATATGGTATTACAACTTACCATATAATCAATCACGCACATTGTTACAATAATACAAATCACCATACACCAATTGTAAGATACTGTGATAATGTAATCAATATTGTAAAATTCGTTGAGTTGGCCGATTACTCCTTCGAGTACTCGCTACTCGGCCCCTTACCAATGCAAGTTACAGAATCCCGAGTACTCCCCGATCAGCCCTTTACTGAACTGAACAATGTTGTCAAACCCCGATCAACTCAGTGATTAATATGTATAATATAATTAACAATTTATTATTTAACACATAAAATTGATTATATATATATATATATATATATATATATATATATATATATATATATATATATATATATAAAGAGAGGGAGAGAGAGAGAGAGAGAGCTATGTTCAAATATAGATTGACATCTATTGTATGGATGTGTGGATAATTTTATTTCGTGAGAATAACAAATAAAATATGCTGTTTGATAATATAAATACGCTTAATCTTATATAATTATTGTAATTATTACGCATTTTCACTAATTAAATCGTCTATAAGGTTATTATAAACTTTTTTTTTAATTATTTTTATTCTATCAGAATGTTATCAGGATGTTTATTGAGTCATATCCTGTAAGAATTAAAATAAATAAGATGTATAAGAACAAAAATGAATTAGAATTAGTGAGAATCTATTAAAACAACAATAGTTTTGTAGGATTGAACGCACTCGCATTACTAAACACCATATTCTCTTAGATAATTCTCATAAAATAGCATTATCCACACGTCCGCACAATAGTTATTCATCCACATTATATATATATATATATATATATATATATATATATATATATATATATATATATATATATATATAGATCTTAAAATTTCAGTAATTATTCACGAAGTGAGACCATTATGTGTTTTTCAGTTTTTTTATGTATTCACATGTATCCAATTTTGTTATAAATTTCAATCAACTTAAGATTTTAACTTATGATATTGACATATATAAGTTTCCTAAAAATATTTCTACATGAATTACCGAATCCGAGTACTTCTCGAGTACTCCTGAATACTCGCTACTCGGGCCGAACAGGTACGGGGTAACGACTTCTACAACCTTGACTGTAATTCTTTATCTCATTAGGACGATTACTTTCTTTGAAATCAAAATGTTTATCTCTTCAAAATCATCATCAACGACACCAATTGCTACACAAGGTTAGTAATTCAAAAAAAAAAAATTATGCATATAATCATATTTGTTTTGTTTTAACTATAATATGTGGTGTAATTTCATGATCTGCGTTATACCCACCACATGTTTTAATGCCAATGTGCTTCTCAATGTGTATTTAATCATGGATAATCTGAATTCATGTATTGTTTTTTTACTTGATGTGAGTGTGTTTAAGTGACCGTATGTATGTATGGGTCTTTAAATATTTATTGACTTTTAATTAGCATCCTACTTTCATTTTTAATTAGCATTCTACTTTCATTTTTTAGCCGAAGGGTAAATCAATATTTGATATTTAGCCACATTACCCAAAACATGTTTTTCCCATTCCCCAAACATGTTTTCTTTCAACCATTCTTCTTGATGATCAATTATAAACTTCCCATTTCCATATTTCAAACTCATTGAAGTATCTATAATATGATCAATCATATTTAACAATTCAATTGAATTGTTGGTGAAGCAGTTGCTAGGTTGGTGGATGAAAGAACGGTTTTTGAAATATTATAGAAAGTGTTTGAAGGGGAATATTAATACAACACAATTTTAAAATCACCATTAAAATATTTTTTATGTTACTTTAAAAATGTGTATAATGGGAATCAAATTCACACTAATAGGTAGAAACAAATTCCTCCTAACCAACTCAACTAAAAACAACTTAACAAATATACTAACACAACTTATAAAACATGTATATCACATAAATAATTTTGGGGCCCCAAGCCGTAATAAAGCCCAAAGTTGTCCCCAAGTTTGCCACTATTGGGTCGGGCCTTCTCACATATTAATAACTTGCTCATTGAATGATGCGATGATGCTTTACCGTAGGCGTGGGCAAAAAAACCGGTTCACAAACTGAACCGGTCGTTGAACCGAAAACCGGTTCACCCTAGAACCGAACTGCCGCAGAACCGTACTGTCAGTTTAAACCAATTCACATTTTCAAATGTTGGAACCGGGTTAGAACCGGTTTACTACGAACCGACTTGGAGAACCGGTTTTGAACCTCTTTTGGGTAGTTCATTATTCCTAGCGTACGCATGAGTGTTTTTGTTGATAATTCCAAAAAGTAGAAAAGTAGACCGTAAGAGTGTACGTCCTGCATTCATATGTCTCCATCATTCTTTTTTTTTTTGCCTTACCCATGCTCACTATAAACAAAAAGAAGAGAGTGACAGCTCATATATGAAAGGTCTAATTAGGGGTTTGGTCTAAGCTTTCTATGTAATAGGTTCTTTTGGTCATTTGATAGCTTGTAGTAAGTTGTTTGGAGTTTACGGCTTTTGTAAGGAGTTTACGGCCGTAAGCTGTTTACGACTGTAAACCCAAGGCCGGTGCATGATAGTATATATAGAGGTTTGCTAGGTCTTTTTGTAGTTGTTGATGCCTCAGTATGTGACAACCTGAAATCTATTCCGTTAGTTTTAACCTTTTCCCGTTAAAAAAGCTTCGTTTTATTTAACTGTCCGTTAACCTTTGGGAAGAGGTTAATTATTTGGGGACTATTATAATGACTTGGTAAGGGTTGAAACAAGTTAGAAACACCTAAAAATTTTCCTTTAATTTTTTTTTAGTTTCAACCAAGTCAAAATATAACCACTAAATCGGGTGCGACCAAAAAGGCCCGTTTAATAGAAGTATCGGGTAGATTTCCACTGAGCCCCAACTACAACCCCTATATAAGGGTGAGTGGAGTCCATTAGAGACTTTTTTACACTCTCCCCACTCTCTCTCTCTCTAAAACTTAATTTCGAGCCAAAAATCGTCCGTTTCGAGCCCCAAACGAGTAAGCCACATATCCTAGCTTGTTAAATAGCTTATCTAGTCTGCAAATTCGAGTTTAAAACATAAAATAGGGACAAAATGATGTGTTTACGGCCCAAGAACACTCTTGGACCGTGAACACCATTTAATGGGGTTTTTAAGCCCCAAGATCCCTCCAAATTGCCCCTAAGGCTTAGATATGACTTTTAGGCTTACATATTCGGACTTAGAACACCTTGGAATGAGTTTTTGGAGAGTAAACTTGATTTTACTGCCCAAGAACTTGCTTGGGCCGTAAAATCCCCTTCATGGGGAGTAAACTCAATTCCATGTGTTAGAAATCCCCTAAACACCCCCTATGGTTTTGGAAAAATAACTTAAATGCAATACCATTGTTATAAGGGCCTTAAACTTCAATAAAACCAAAGGGATAGGAGTTCATGGCCGTGAACTCCCATAGAGGTGGTTCATGGGCCGTAAACTCCCATTAAATGCCCAAATGGTGCCCTAAACTCCCCATTTGACTTGGAAAAATACATAGGAATTATTCTCAATCACTTAAGCCATTAAAACACCCAAGAAAGATATCCTTGGGAGCTTACGGCCGTAAATGTGACAACCCGAAATTTCCATTCTGTACAAACTATATCACTTCAATAGAAGTTATAGCAGTCACAGTTAATTTTCAGAGTTTTTCGTGTAAGTTTGAGTAATTCAGTGTTTACACTTCTGAAAATATTAGGAGAGTGGATGCACTAGAGTTTTGTGCAACACTATTATGCCAACACTCTATTATATTAGAGATCATTTCGGGAATAAAATATTTTCTGCCAAAAATATCAGGACTATAAATAGAATTCTGAACCAAATTCATTCATTATTCGCATTTCTAACTAGAGAAAAGCCATTTACTCTCTCACGGATCTTCGAGTTTTTATACCAAAATGTGAGTAACTCTTTCAAGTAGTGTTAGAAAGCTTTATATGTGTTTATAACATGATTTAGAATGCTAAATCACTAGATTTAGGAGTTTACTCCCCAAGGTGTTCTTGGGCGGTAAACTCACGAAACAAAGCCTAAACCGTCC